TTTTTGTGAGATTTAGGTGGCTTTGTAGAGTGTCCATTAAGCACATTCTCCTGCAGGCCATCTCTCCTGCATGGTGCGCTGGGGAATGCAGATGACATTCCTTCTAAACACTCCAACAGCACTTTACTCTCAAACTTTTCTTTCTCTGCATCATCAAATCATTTCAAGGAGCCATGGGACATATCCATGTGTTTTTTCAAATGTGTAATATAATAAAGCTAAAATGTCTATAGACATTTCAAAATACAAGTTTAATAGCATTCAAAATGTTAATGTACATTTAAAGCTGCATTGATCATCAATGTTATGGTATAACCATTCAGAATAAACAAACCCCAGTATAGTTAAGCGTACTTTGAATCCCAGCGAAAAACTGTGAAATGAAATGAAATGTTAAACACACGAGATTGTTGACGTGATATACTATATTCAATGTTAAAACTAAAGCTTATGGGACAGGATAGTAATGTACATTTTATAATACTCGCAATTGCTATAGTAAGAACTTAGTTCAATACAAAATGTTCTTGGGTGCTACCTGTTAAGCCCTAATCTTTGTCCCAGTGATTAATGTCCTAATTTGGTCTCATTACTGCAACAGTATGAATGGCTCCCTCTAAAGGCTTTAGACGTTGCTGCAATTAACTGGGTCCCCAAGAGAAACCTGAGCAAGTTGAGATATATTTATTTGCATATTTGATCTGGCTGTTAAGGCTGTTAAGCTTCAATAAAACATTTTCTAAAGAGTTGTGCATTTTATCAAATTAATTAATATAATATCACACACCCAACAAACAAAATGTAAAATAAAACGAGATTGAAACACTGTTAAAATGCTAGGTCTTGAGTGAGGGAGATAACAAAAATGCAATATTTTCCAAAAGCTCTTTATATCCAGCTTGTCTAATAAGAGCCCAAAATGAAATAAACATCAGCACAAATAAAGCCACATGTGACTGTAACCAATGCAGGGCACTTATGTGGATCAGAGAAAGGATCCACCAGTCATATTAAACAGTTAATGACTCTCTTATGGGCAGGTAGATGTAAACAGAAGATCACTACAGATCATTGGATAACAGGTAATGTTGCTTTTTGCCAGGAAAAGGCCTACATTAACCTTAAATACAGTATAAAGGTTGTTTGTCTGTTTCAATTATTTTCTTCAAACCAAAAAAAAAGTATGATCTGCTCTCCTAAAACTGCGTGGTGATCTACAGTATTTTCTCACCCAAAATTCAGCCTGTTGAATTGCCCAAAACAATGTTCTCTGGTGAACACATGTTTCTTATTGAATTACCAATTGCCCAACCCATTATTGTGTGTGACGGAACAGGAAACAAAGGGTAAAGACAAACATGTTCGCCAAATTAAAAATATTCCCAAGACTGTTCATACCATAATCTGTTTATATGATTCATACACTAGTGGTGTATACACTGGTGAAGGAAATGAACCGGGTCCCCCTGTTAAACATGAACAAAGCGCCTATACTGCACAGATTATCATGTGAACTGAGTGGATTTTTCAGTGGCAGCTATTGAGGCACTTATTACCCTTTGACTTACAAGAAGCTCTTTGATTAAATTGATATGAAACCACCACCTATTCCTACATCTAACCTACATTTTGTTTGCCCTCTCAACAGACCCTGGATGCTATGGCACTGCAGTCTAAAGCCAGCAGGTTTAGTTCCATGCCATGCAAACGGACAGTCTCCTGTTGGAAGAAATATGTGCCTGAGGGACAAGGATCAGGTCATGCTGCTCTACTGTGAGAAATAATGGTTGAGGCCTTCTTCACGTAAACCAGATGTCTCTGCTTTCAATCTCAGCTCAGACTACTGAGACCCCGGGTGAGTACGCTTATGCACACAGTGATATAAACCTATGGAAAATACAAAGGCACTTGTAACATAGATCAAAAATACCACTCTGACACTCCTTTCTAAACAAGGGGCAGTTTTAATGCCAGGATCCTGCCACAATAAGTAATGGGTTGGTGATCATTTGAATTAAATACAGTCTTATAACAGAACATTTCCTAGGCTAGAAAACAAATCTTTATTAGAATATACTATGACCAAACACATTGCAACAGTTGATTCATTGTGCACTCGTCTTTAGCACGCCCTGGCACCAGTTATGTCTTCTAAATAACCTGAAGTTGCTTTTGTGATATAGAGTGGCGAAGTCCCTCCCCTTCCGGTTGAGCTCCATGGGACCTTATTTCGGAAAAGTTATGCATTGAAGTCAATGGAGAGAGAAAGATTATCTTTCGATCCCGTTTGAATTGTGCCACGAATTACACATATGATGTTTGTCAATTTAAAAGATAATTTTACAAGTCAAAAAAATTAAAATGTGTCGTAAAACTGTGAAGTAACACTTTTTTTGTGTGAAACCGCTCAATGAACTACATCTCCCGTCTCGCACCACACACCAAGACGGCCGTGACGTTGGCACATTTCACTTCTTTCTTTCAGAATGAGGCGAAAAGTATTAAAAGAGGTGAAAATCACTACAAGTCTGGGCATGTTGAAAGCTGTACATACACAAAAGGGGAGTTAGTCGGTTCCGTAAGAGCCAGCATGCAGGACCGGGATTCTGGGATTTGTAGTCTTTCTAGTTGCGTATTTTTCAACAGTCTTATAACAGTTTTACGACAAACTGTGACTTTTTTGACATGGAAATTATTTGTTAAGATTGACAAACATCATATGTGTAATTTGTGGCACAATTCAAACGGGATCGAAAGATAATCTTTCTCTCCCCATTGACTCCAATACATATTTTTTCCGAAATAAGGTCCCATGGGTCGGAAGTATGGGCGTGACTTTGCCTCTCTATACTCTTTGCTAAGCACAATAAATATACCATACTGTACTCTGGATAGCATTCAAGAAACTAACTACAGTAACCTGTTCTTTTACAAGAGGCCTGGACAACCTGATTTACAAGACATCTAGTAGACTGTATCTCATAAAAGGAGAGTCTTGCAGACATGGGGCTGTTATGGGGCCGAGGTGCAGCAGTGTTTTCTGCAAAGGGGGAATAATTGTCAGACTGACTTCACTAATGTTGTTGCACGGTATCTTGGATACTATTGTCCCTCAATGAACTGCTGGCTAGATATTTGCACACCCAGAAAATGTGACTTTCATTACAGACTTGGAGTTTCACTACAGAAAGTCTCTTACTTTCTGTCAGTTTAAGCCGACAGCGTGGTCATGTGATATTTAAGGAAAGATATCACACCCCAGACCTCAGCTCAACTGGCTAGAGTTGTTCTCAATGGCATGTTGGTGCTTTAGAAATATTGTAGTAGAGCTGTACTATCTATAAATACCCCCTCAAGTTATTTGTGTCTTTGTCAATGTTTCTGAGGTTTTTATCCGCATTAGAGTTAACATTTTCCATTTTAACGCTTGGCAAAAACTTGGCTGTAGTGTAGCTCTCTCGGCATAAAGTGTAGGTAGCAAACAAGCACTCCCCAAAGTAATACATCATATTAAATGTTCTCTGTGACACTGAGCTGTCTACAATATTAATCAGCTTCTTTCAGATTTACTGTGATTACATTTTTAAGGGCTCTGGCTGTAGGATCTGGGTGTCTTGTTGATGATTGTAAGACAGACCAGATACCTGGTATTCATTACAAGCCTATTATAATGTCAAGTCGAATACATTTCCATTATACTAAACAAACAGTGTTACCATGAGGACCGACTACAGCACAGCTGTCTTACATTATGAACATGTGACACTGCAAGTACCATACATGTAAAACATATGTATCTTTATTAACAAAATAAGTGACACAAATGGCTATGGTAATATATTTAAAATATATGTTAATGCGTTTTCCGTCTTCAATGAGATTGAATACTGCACTATGGACATTACTATTCTTTAATGTGTCCAAGCCCTTATATGCAGCAACAGGTAATTTGTTTCCTTTGATAATATAGAAAGGCTGCTATACCAAAAACTGTGTAAACCACATTGACTCTGCTTTGTGGATGTCATACATTCATCTCTGAGGCTAAATAAATAAATACTTGAATAAATCTAGAAAGCTTTTGCTTTTCTTTTTATATGTGATAACCAAAAAAGCAAGTAAAAAATAGCCTAATTGTGCATAATTGTATCATATTGCTGTTTGCCACGTTTGTACTTTTGTCCAGCCAGAAGCTGTATTGCACAGGACAAAATAAATTCACACAGCTTCACACATTTCTCCAATACTCTACCTTAAGAAGTTCAAATTGGAGTTAAGCCTAACTGGCCGCTTGCCAAATGTGACAGACTTTTCCAAAAGCACCTCTTGTAACATTAACAAGTTGGCACAAGCAAAGGCTTGCTGACATTTGAAAGAAATTAGTTGAGTCACTTTAGTTGTTCAGTGATGCAGCTACAAAGCCATAGTACACTGGTCACGTATGAAGTGTATTTGTTTGTCATGAACTAGTCATGGACCTGGTTATGTTGCAATTGTGGGAAGGAAATTACCCACAATGAAGCTTTTCATTTATTTTAATAAAATAATAATAATTGCATGAAAAAAATGAACAGTCAAAATGTTTGAAAATGTGTTTAAGATTAAAGGGAAGTGCAGACAATCCTGCTTGGCTACATCATCCTTTAGGGAATTCTAGCCACTTCCGGAATCTGGATACAGCATTTCTACAAAGCTCAAGTTCTGCTCTACAATGTAACGAATGCAATACGAAAATAAGTTCAAAAGTGGGGACAAATCTACATCGAATTTGAGCAAAGTTTAGAGATTCTTTCTCTACTGTATGCATCTTTAAAACTGTATTGCATTCATTACAGCCCTAAGCATCGTCACGATATTTCAACACAAATAAAGTCTATCATCCCTGCCTGCGACCCGATGTTAAAGCATAAACAAGAGTACAACTTTTTTTGGTAACACTGGCTTTCTGGATGGTGCCTGACATTTAAGGCGATCAACAACAGTCCTCTCCGGTCACTGACCTTATGCGATGTCTCCTCAGCTTCGGTCCCATAATGTCTCATCAATGCCGGGTCCAAGCTCCTGGTCTGCCTCAGTCTCCGCTTCGAAATAGTTTTGGGGCTTAGCGAGCATGAGAAAACACTGCTTAACAATCCTTGGGCGGACATTGCTCCTTAAGCTTCTCGGTTTGTGATTAAAGAAGATAATTATACATCTGCTACAAGTCCAAAGTGATCGCAGGAGCAGCACCTTCTGTCAGCTGCGGCAGGTCCCCAGCGCGTCACCATGCTGAATTATGAAATCCGCGCGTCTGGAGTCCCTGCTCGCCCCCCTCCACCTCCACCTCTCCCCCCCCCCATCCACCTCCCACACACTCTGACTCAGAACTTCCTACTCTTCCTACTCCTGGTTTTTAATAAACACTAATTGAAAGTTAATTTCCCCAAACATCCACAAAAACAATGAAGCATACAACAGAGACCTTATATCAAAATTCCTTTATTTGTGCGTGGGTGTGTCTATTTAAGCAAGACCAGCTGTTCAATTAGAAATATGCATCACACATGTCAGTGTACATATAAGGTAATCAAGTTTTCAAAACAAATGCAAATGACCCACTATAAATAAATACATATTCAAGTACAGCTCTTGTATTTATGTGATTCTTGAAATCCAGCCAGTGTAAAAATCAATAACCCTTTCAAACAATACATTGCAAACTACAATTATGGATCTGAAAATTAGATTATTTACCATATTTACCATAATGTATACTATATCACAGTCATTGTTAGTGAGCAACCTTTAAACATTTAACGTAAGAGCTTGTATTGGGACAAAGAGGCATATTCTCTCAATAGCATCTGTGTATATAATGCTGCATCTTGTTATACACTGTATGACATTATCAGTTTGAAGCTAACCGGGTTGGTGTAGTTTAAACTTATTTTAACACTTCTTTAAAGCAGAAATGGCAACTTCAACTAAAACCATTAGCTCACTTTTGTTGAATCTTATTAGACCCTCATGACAGACACTTTTAACAGACCTTGCCTAAACTCACAGTCTCTTTTGACCACACTGCATTTTTTCCTCACCGTAGGCGGTTGAGATACTTGGCATGTAGTGCCTTGGGAGCATACCCTTCCTGTGGGAGCCCTGGGGAAGGGACCTGTGTGATAACATGACATGTGAACCAGCACTGTATGGCCACGATAAGGAATCATCAGATACCAGAGTCTACCAAACAGACAGGGGAAGTGGTGATAAGAGGGCGGCTTTGCGTTTGATCCACTTATTTGGTGATGGCGAAGTTTGGAGTAAGACTAGCAGATTCCCATCAGACTTCCCGTTGTGTCATTTCTCAGTGGCATAAGTTCAGCCTTGAGATTTTACATCCACTCACCATGAAGGATGTCAGAATAAATGTTTGACTCACACAGGGCATTTTTGTGAGCTTTTGGAAAACCTCCCAAAATAGTATTGTGTTTGGTTTTAGATACTTGCTTTTATACTTTTAATAGAACGTTAGAAAGTCGTGGACTCGTGGGACAATTAATGGATTTCTGATTTCGTTGAATGTAGTTCATATGAATTATAAACAATGATCTTGATCAGCTGAAAAGCTTTCCAAGAATCACTCTGTGCAGTGTAGAGTTTGAGAGTGAATATAATGAGCAGTATGTGCAGGGACGCTTGTGAGATTGCTGTCTCACTGGAACCATATGGGATTCTGCGGATGAATGTGGGAGGTAATCATTGCTTGTGATTTATTTGGTCAATACTCTACTTCTATTACATTCTGAGGGAAGTATTAGAAGAAAACAAGACAGGGTATTTTAGAGCGTTAAGAATAGATTTCTGCATGTGTGTTAAGACCTGTAATCTAAATATGCTAAACACAGTGCTTGTCCACAGTTGAAAATAGATGACATATTTTAATGATTTTCTAATGCTTAACACACTGGGCACTTGCCACATCCGGTTAAAATGTTTTACCCTAGGAGGAATTGGTTATTTCTGAAGGCAATTTAGTGCGAGGCACTGACTCTTTGTGGAGTTGACAGGCTGTGAATGACTGTATGTGTTAGCATGGCATAGATAAGCTCAGAGAAGATATCCTCATTTTTTGGAACAATCCACTAGATGGCAGTAGTACACAATCTGCTTCTTTAGCATCAACTGAGTCACGTTTCAACCAACTAAAGACTGATTTGGAGAATATACCTGTGTAGTGTTGATACCATGATTAAGCTGCATGGGGGTCCAGGAGGTAAATCGTGTTGCTGGACTCCTAATAACTTCCTGTTCAGCCCTTTCCCTGTGCACTGCAGTATATCTGTTAAACAATATTGCTTTTTGATAATTAAATTAAATTAGTTTCATCTTGTAAGTACATTTTTGTTAAATGTTTCAACAGGGCCTCAAAATCAGGTAGTATAGCAGGACACACATTAGGCCTTACGGTGGGATTCTTGTGCCAGTGAATATGAGCCCTATATTCCCTTTCCCGATGCCACACTCAAGACAATATTATACTGAAGGTAACCCTGCTGAATTTGCTTGTATAATGAACATCTATACAACATCCCTACAACTATGGTAACAAATGTAAAACAACAACATTGCATAATTAGCCTAACTGTAGGCTAGCTGGTCAAATGCAGTTCCTATTCTCTAACACTTGTCTGTGCTGATGCACTGTCACACATACACAAGCAGCCCATGGCATCATAGTGTTATGAACCTTTAATGATACACATTAAAGAGTGAATCTGTTCTAGTGGGCACCAACAAGGGAGCACCTTTAGACATTTTTGTAATTCTGTTTTTGACACCTATTTCTCATCCATTAATATGTATGTATAAAGAGAGATAACAACCCTAAAAGCTACAATAAATGCCTCAGTTCTGACTAAAAATGTTTTAAAACAACCATTATCTAGGCAAGATATCTTATTTGATTGAATCACTGCCATTTGTTATTTTTTAAGGTTTCTGATGAGTAAAAATCATAACACCATAGCAGTGGGTCAGTCAGTAGGGGCTTGGACTGTGAGCCGTAGGGTCGCCGGTTTAAGTCCCCGAATAGACCTAAATATGGAGTGTGGACTGCTACTTGGAGAGGTCCCAGTTCACCTCCTGCCCTGCCGTGGTGCCCTTGAGCAAGGCACCGGACACCCCCCACCCCCCTCACTCCCATTGCTCCCCGGGCGCTGTACAATAGCTGCCCACTGCTCCTAGTAGACTCCTGGTACTAAGATGTGTTAAACGCAGAGGCCACATTTCACTGTGTGTGCTGTGTGCTCTGCATGTGTGATCATTAAAGAGGGTTTCATCCCTCCCAATTCAATTCAATTCAATGAATAATGTTCACTCAGTGAGTCATCCCAAATAATCCCATTATTTTCAGGGAAATGTAAATTCCAAGAATCAAACATCTGTATGTCTCCCTGCTGTAGATGTGTTCTTTGCACAAGTGAAAAACAATCCATTTGTCTTTTGGAACCGGAGATGTTGAAGACAAAACAACAATTCCCAATCCCTTTGGTAGAGTGCACCTATATCAGATTAGTGACTGCGATTATTACTCCGATTACATCTTACATTTGATTGCACTTCTTCTCTACACTGAAGGGGAGAAATGGGAGTAATGGTGAGAAGGAAATGCTATCTAGATGTCAGACAAGCACTTGATTTACCACTCACAGAAACAGTCTCTGCGTCAGAGTAAGGCCATGGCTTCTCACATTTCCACTCAGCATGATCCTTCAAACATTACTGGCCACAAGGTATTGATTTTTCATTCTTCTCAATATCCCATTGCCGTTAATATAATTTACACCAGACTATCAAGGAGACCTCCCCTCCCTTTACAGTACAGCCAGTATCTTCTAACCCACAAAGTGAGCCACTCGACGCTTGCCCTCCATTAGCTGCAGTTCTGAGTTTCTACCTGAGAGAAAAGACAGGGAAATTGACAATACAAGCAAAAGGGAGATTTGTGTTAGCGGAAGTTTGGACAGAAAACAAGAGCAGCAGAGGTGAGTCTGAGGCATTTTTATGTCTTTATTTCCCACCATTTTAAACATTTTGGACATCGGAGCGTTTCAATCATAAGGGGTTTGCAATATGTTAGGTCCCACACCCATCTTTTATTACATTTTAAAGGAATGTGCATATCAAATTGAATCTATAACTGCAAATTTGAGTGTAAAATCAATGTAAGTGAAAGTTGAAAGAGGTTGTGTGACATTTGAAAAGAGAGTAGTTTGTTTAGGACTGAGGTATGAAAAAGGCAACTCTAACTATGTCTACAAAAAGCTGTAAAAATAAATAATCTAAGTTTCTTTTAGACAATTTTTCACACAGTCCTAAAATACACAAAATCATTCTGTGAAGTGATAGCTATGATAGTTTGCATCAGTGTTAATAGATGACGGAAATCTGCAATAATATGTCAGTCAACCGTGATAACATGCAAATAACAATTATCTTCCATATCGTTAGGCTAATAATTATCCTAATCCGTGGCATTACAAATGAAGCTTGTTCTCACTGATGCTGGCTGATAGGCTTGGAGCCCAGCCTGCAGCAACACAGTGTTTCTGATTCAAGTGACAACGTCTGCTTGGTGACCTTAGCAGCTTTCCATGGGCACATTGATTTTTGTCCCACATTACAGATAATTGCTGGATGCTGTGAAATCTATCCTCCCAGGCCAGCAGGGAGGAGCTACTGCAGTGTTGACACAAGAGTAGCTATCTGATTTGAGGAATGTGATATCCTGCAATCTTTTTGACTGCCATTGACTTCTGTGTACTTCCTGTCTATGGTATGACTATATTTAACAGCTTATCAGGAGACTTGTTTTCATCCCTGTTGGGGCTGTTAGTGTTCTATTTTCTTACAGCCAGACCAAGAAATTATAATGATAAACAATATGCTAAAAAAAGTGTCATTAAAGGGGACCTATCATGCAAAATGCACTTTTTGATGTCTTTTATACATAAATATGTGTCCCCGGTGTCGGGGAACTCACGCAGCGTCAGAAAATAAAACCCTTTCTCTTTTCCTCCGTACCCAAATCTTTTAAAAACTGGGGTACAACGAGCGGATACAGATTTGCTGCCGATCTGACGTCAAATCGGCGGCGGACCCACAGAAAGTTGCTATCAGAAACAATGCCTGACGTGTTTTGGACGTAATATCGTGTTTGTTTACATTAGCAAGCCTCGCTAACACTCAGAGCTAACCTGTACTGGAGAGCACATGTGTTTAAAAA